CAGTGTCCCCTCCACGCTACCCTCACCCAGGGGCTGCAAACATTCTGGCAGAAATTCCCAGCATCCCAGAGGGACCCCCACACCCAGGCCCCCACTAGCATGTGACAGTGGCACTCCCATGGGCACCAGCATTAGCAGGGCTATGGGATGGACATGGCTGCACCCATGGGTGCCCCCGATGCTGCCCTCCCCAGAGCCAGAGCTGCCACGTCTGGGAGAGGCAAAGACCAGAGGACGAAAGGCTGGAGGGGATGGGGAGGGCAGATGCCCCAGCAGCTGTGCCAGAGGATCCCCATCTTTCTGGCACCACTAGTCCAAGGCATAGTCCCCAGTGCCATTGTCCCTGCATAAGGGGGGGAACAAGGGACACCCCGAGCTGCTCTGCCAGCCCCTGGCCCTGCCCCTCCCTGCCTGCACCCACCTCCTGCCTGTTTACCAGGGGCACAATTGGGCCTCTGTGCCCAGACGCCTGTGGGATCATCCCCACACCACTCCCGGGCCGTACCAGGCTCCCCTGGGGACTGCTGGGTCCTTGGTGGTGACAGGAGGGACTTGCCTCCTGTTATTTATCTTTTAACGTGGGTCATTGACCTTTTGCTCAACTCCTGCATCCCCTGTCCCTGATCCCCCCTGCCCCACTGCACACCCCAGAGCCAGGGCACAGTGTCTCCACCACTAGGCCAGGGTGACATGGTGATGGGCAGACATAGGGGCAGACTGAGGCTCCCCAGCTCGCACCCTCTGGGGCTGATCCTGCCCCTTTTGGTCCCCCTGCAGGGGCTTCCCAGGCATGGGGAGGCCAGGGCTGCCCCACACCCACAATGAGGAAGAGCCTCAGGCGTGCAGTAGCAGGGAGGGATGCTGTCCCAATCCCAAGGGAGCATCCCACACTGGCACAGCCTGGGGGTTGGGGGGCTGCAGGTGCAGGGCACTAGGGGACATTTTGGAATTGTATGAGGAAGCATGCAGAGGGGAAAAGCCAGGATCCAGGCAGCTGGGAGAGGAGCAGGACAAGGAGAGGAAAAGGGCCAGTGCCTGCTAGGAGCTGGCCGTGCCCTGCACTGATCAGAGCGCTCTGTCCTCTTCTCTCACACGTTCCCTTTCTCATTCCTGTGCCCTCGCTGTGGGCTTGTGGCAGTGGGACAGGAGGTAGATGGGCACAACTTGCACTGAGCAAAAGTGTGACCAGAGGCAGAGGTGGCTGGAGCCAAGCCCTGGCCGTCCCCACGGGCAACC